AGAAAAAGAACATATGACTTAAGTTGCAAGGTGAAGTCTGACATCTATCGCACTGGTCTGGTATTGAGGGGAACATTTTAGATAAACGTGTTTTTGAGAAGTGTACTCTATTTATTACTTTAAATTGTATTAACTGTAGTCTGGCACATGGTGTACTCTGACGTATGCTGAGAATAACTTTATCCCACCATGAATCTGATAGTTTAACACCCAGTTCACGTTCCCATGCAGTTCTAGTTTTACCCGATGAATCGGCCTCTATTGCCATAAGTTTTCCATAAATAATTGAAAGAGGAGATTTCAAATTGGGGCTCAAAACTAAGAGTTCAACCCATGGTGGGTCAGTAGGCAAAGCTAGAAAATTTTGAAACTGCGATGAAACGCAATGCCTAATTTGGAAGTAAAGAAACAAATGTGAAGTGGGTAGATTAAATTTAGAAGACAATTCTGAAAAACTAAGAAATAAACCATCTTCGTACAGGTCTCTCATTGTTCTAATACCTTTCTCATACCAAATTCTATAGGCAGCATTATTAGATGCTGGAGAAAAAATGTGATTCTTTAGTAACGGCATTTTATTAGAGGGTGATACAAATTTAAAGTGGGACCTAAATTGTGACCAGATCCTGAGTGTTGAGAGCACTATAGGATTTGTAGTAACTGAGGATAATTTAATTGGTAATGATGAATAAATAATTGAAGCGGGCGAAAAAGATGCAGAAATCGACTGAATTTCAAGTTTACACCAAATCAGATCAGGTGAATTTAACCAATAAGTCAGTTTATGGATATGTGAGGACCAGTAATACATTGTAAAATTAGGTAGAGAAAGACCCCCGTTTGTGGTGAACTGTTGTAATAAAGAAAGTCTCATTCTGGGGGCCTTTCCGTTCCATAAAAAAGATGAGACCATCTGATCCAGGGACCTGAAGAACTGTTTGGGCAAGAACAGAGGGATATTTTGATATAAAAACAAAAGTCTAGGTAGCACATTCATTTTGATAATATTAATCCTACCAATCAATGAAAGAGGGAGAGAGTTCCATCTCTGTAAATCTGATGCAATTTGGGAAACTAGTGAGGCATAATTCTGAGAAAACATTGAGGGCAAAGTACGTGTAATATTAATTCCTAAATACCTAAATCCCGAGGGACTGAGCCTAAAAGGGATATCAGAAGGCTTAAGCTTTAAAGCTAATGAATTCACTGGATAGCATTCACTTTTAAGTGAGTTAATTTTATAGCCAGAATATGATCCAAATTTTTCTAGAATATTTAAAATTGGGGGAAGACTCCGTAAAGGGTCAGAGACATACAGGAGAAGGTCATCTGCATATAAGGACAATTTAAGCTCGACACCAGAGCGGACGATTCCATGAAAAGAAGAAAGGGATCTTAGAGCAACGGATAGGGGTTCAATGGCTAACGCAAACAAGAGGGGAGAAAGAGGGCAACCCTGTCTAGTACCACGTCCCACCGTAAAATAATCAGATTGGACGGAATTACTGAGAATACATGCTTGAGGGGATGTATAAAGTAGCTTGATCCAAGACACAAACCTCTCTCCAAAACCAAACCCATTAAGAACAGCAAAGAGATATTCCCATTCCACTCGATCAAAAGCTTTCTCGGCATCAAGAGAAATTATCACTTCAGGAGATTTAGAGGAATGAGTTGAAAAAATTGTATTCAACAGTGTACGAGTATTAAAAAACAACTGGCGACCTTTAATGAATCCATTCTGTTCTTGTGAAATAATCCGAGGGAGAACTGTCTCAAGCCGAGTCGCGAGTACTTTAGACAAAATCTTAAAATCCACATTCAAAAGTGAAAGAGGTCTATAGGACTCGCAGGCAGTAGGATCCTTATCCTTCTTTAACAGGAGAGAAATTGAGGCCTGAGTCAAGGTGGGAGGCAACAAGCCCTGCCCAAATGACTCATTATAAACCTCAAGAAGAAGAGGGGCTATTTTATCTTTAAATTTTTTGAAAAATTCGGCAGAGAAACCATCTGAGCCAGGTGTTTTACCACTTTGCATATCCTTAATTGACGCAAATATTTCTTCTAATTTAATGGGAGCTTCAAGTTGGTCAGAAAGCAATTTGTCTATCCTAGGTATGTCAATATCCTGAAGAAAGGCACATAGCTCATTTGAGTCTGCTTGTAGTTCAGACTTATACAAATTGCAGTAGAATTTTTTAAAAGTATCATTAATAGAGACAGGATCTGAAACAAGATTGCCCGACCGATCGTTGATTTGTGATATTATGTGAGAGCCGGCTTTTCGTTTCAATTGATGTGCCAGAAGTCTACTTGGTTTTTCCCCATGTTCATAATAAGTGGCTCGAGATCGTATCAAGAGTCGCTCCGCATCAGATGTAGTTAAAAGATCAAATTCCATCTGAAGATCCTGTCGCTGTTTCAGCAAATCATGTGACGGATTAACGGCATTTTGCCTATCAATATTCTGAATTTTTGTTGATATTTCTGATATCTTAGTGCGTAGATTTTTATTAATATTAGCTGAAAAAGAGATAATCTGACCCCGAAGATAAGCTTTTAATGTTTCCCACAGTAGTGAGGGAGAAATTGTATCGCTCTTATTGAACCTTAGAAAATCATCAATTGATGATAAGATGAATTTATTAAATGGCTCATCTGATAACAGGAGAGTATTAAATCTCCAACGAGGACTAGAATTGGGTTTGTTTATAAAATTTATATCAATGCTTAGAGGAGAATGGTCTGAAATAACAATCGGATAGTATTCAGAAGACGTGACTCTCTGCATTAAAGAGCTATCAACAAAAAAATAATCTATACGGGAATAGGATTGGTGTATTTGAGAGTAAAAAGAATAGGTCCTTGTTAGTGGATTCCGTGTCCTCCATGGATCTACATATCCATTTTGGGACACAAAATCCAAAATAGATTTAGACATATTAGACTGTGTATAGGACCGAGATGAGGAGCGATCTAATGATGGATTCATTACACAATTCAGGTCTCCAGCTAGAATTAACAAATGAGTATCAAGATATGGAAGTGTGCTAACTAGATTGTTTATAAAATCTGGTTTATCAAAGTTTGGTGCATAAATGTTTACTAATAAAACAGGAGTGTGGAACAAGGAGCCTGCAATTATAAGAAATCTGCCATTTATATCCTTCATTATTCTTGATGCTGTAAAATGAATATTCTTATTAAATATTATGGCAACTCCTCTAGCTTTTGAGTTGAAGCTCGAATGATAAATCTCCCCAATCCATGGATATTTGAGCCTGACTTGATTTGAATTTTGCAAATGTGTTTCCTGTAGGAATATTATGTCTGGGTTCAGGCGTTTCATATGAGAAAATATTTTAGACCGTTTCACTGGATTGTTCAGACCTTTAACATTCCAACTTAGGAATCTAACAGCAGGTGTTGAGGAAACCTTTAAATCACCAGACATGTGACTTGACAGGGATCAAAAATATTGCCATCCCTCCCAATCA